GGGAAAATTTCTCCAATTGGAAGATTATATTCACAAACCCTGAAAAAAAGCCAATCCAACCCCCTAAACTTGAGAGCCTCTCAGAATGTCTAGAAAAGCTGACTGATAAAAGCTCTCCGTATGCAAGCAGCATACAGAGAATGAGAGAGACGGCGGTTCCTGAAAATACACATGGAGGTGGGGGAAGACAGCAGACCTGCCCTAAACAAGAACAAAAGCCAAGAAACCAAAATACATCAAAATACAGCTACAGAAGCACAGCCCAATCAATGAACAAACCTGGGTCTTAGCCCAAAACAATAGATACTCATAAATCACCTGAGGAAGAATTTCAACAAATATTAAAACAACTGAAGAAAAGATCAGGTCGTGTGTGGTGGTATTGTGTTCCCCAAAATATCGTGTACCTTAATAAACTTATCTGGGGTCAGAGAACAGAAAAGCCACTAGTTAGGCAGTGATAGCACACGCCTTTAATCCTAGCATTCCAGAGACAGAAACCCCTCTGGATCTCTGTGAGTTCAAGGCCACATTGGAAACAGCCAAGCATGGTGACACACGCCTTTAATCCCAGAAAGCCAGCCTTTAATCCCAGAGAGTGGTGGTAGAAAGCAGAAAGATATATAAGGCGTGAGGACCAGAAACTAGCAGCATTTGGCTGGTTAAGCATGTGGCTGGTTAAGCTTCAGGCTTTCGAGCAGCAGTTCAGCTGAGAGCCATTGGGATGAGGACACAGAAGCTTCCAGTCTGAGTAAACAGGACCAGCAGAGGAATTGGCAAGGTGAGATAGCTGTGGCTTGTTCTGTCTCTCTGATCTACCAGCATTGACCCCGATAACTGGCCTCGGGTTTGATTTTATTAATAAGAACTTTTAAGATTCCTACTACAGTGGTGGGTAGCAGAGGCTAGGAGAGAGGAGAAAACAGTCATTCAATGGGTACCTAGTTCCAGGTGCATAGATGAAAAGTTCCAGAGCTCTGCTATGCAGCAATGAACATTTGTTAACAGTAATAGTTGTATTTCAATTATTAAGAGATTAAAAATAGATTGTATAAGAGTAGTTCAGAAAACCTGGGTACAGATTAAGAAAAATAAGAGACAATCATTAAGACAAAATCCTTCCTTTCCTGGGTGTATCTAACTAAATCTCTTGATGTGAGACGAGAGAAGTTTTTGTTCTTAACTCTCACACTAAACATGTGGCTACTGGGATAATTCCTCCTCTCCTCAGTGAAACTTCAGAGGTTTGTGAAATCTGAGCAACTCCACTTTAAGTTTAGATATATGGACAAGGACAAGGACATACACACAATTCACGTGCTGAATTCTAAAACACATTTGCCACAAGCCTTTGTGGCAACCTGTACAAACATTTTAAAAGCTATGGCACTAATAACATAGCTTATATTTTAAAGTTAATTATGCTAGCCTTTTATCACTATCAACTGTGACACTTCAGGACTACTAAATTCTATCGTCATGTGAGCCACCCCTATTCTAATATCCAGAAAATTCCCTTGTAACAATTTGTAATCTTAAGTAAAAGAAGCTGAAAATATTCTTGAGAAATAATTCTGCGTTATTTTCCATTTATTCCAAATAGCACAGGAAGCTTTGTAGGAACTGAAATGAAACCATAGCAACCAACTGAACCTATTGTGAGCGATCAGATCAAAAGAACACATAGTACACACCATGTCAACGCCTACTAGCAGCATAATCTTTCTCCAGTTCCTTTGGATCCTTTTTCTAGACATGAAAAAAGCCTCCAACCAATGCTCAGTACCGGTAAAATCTAAAATCCCCTTTACAAACAGCTACTGTGATTCTCTGGGAATTCTGATTCAATTAATTCGAAAACTCAAACTAATATTCCAAAATTCAATTATTTTTATTTCAGTTTATTTTATTATTTCATAACACAATAAGAATGGATTCCCCCTACTAAATCTTCAGAAATATGAAGATGAATTAACATCATAGGAATTCCTTGCTTAATAGCATTTTATCAGCACTTAAGGCTAAAGCCACAATAAATTACATCTTATTGTCTAGTCTCTCACCAGTGATTAACCAGCTTACCAAAAGCTAAGCTCACAGAATGGGGCTGAACATGTTTGTAAACTACCAAGTACCTGCGAAAATGAAAGAAACGAGGCCATGACGGCCTTTGCCGGGCACAAGCTGCTTGTTGCACAACTACACAGCCAGGTGGAGAGCAGTGCAGACTCAGGCAAGGACGGAAATCACCTCTGCTGGCAGACGGACCTGCCTCAACCAGTTCTCAATGAGAGCACGGTTTACAGATGGCACATCATAAAATAACAGGCATGACCAATTTCTACAATTCTCAATGAGAACTCGGTTTACAGACGGCACATCATAAAATAGTAGGCATGACCAATTTCTACAATTCTCAATGAGAACTCAGTTTACAGACAGCACATAAAATAGTAGGCATGACCAATTTCTGGGAGACCTGACAAATAACTGAGTATCACTGTCTCTACAAGGTGAACTAGAAATATATCAGAGAAGTACCTCATTTACTGTCATAGATGCTTTCCTCTTGGTTGAAAAATCTTTCCCACATCTACCTGCCACTTTCAATACCATAAAGATATAATAGATGACATGGAAGCAAACATTCTTATTTCAATATGGAACCATTGTTGTTTTCCTCTGACTAGTTAATCAAGTTTACAATGCATTTTTTTGAGGCTAGTATTTAAACCCAAGTCCTTGCTCATGCTAAGCCCAAGCTATACCACCAACTTACACAAACCTAGCACCAAATTATTCTGTACAAATGATCATAAAGTGATCTTACAGTGGAATTTTAGTTTAAATCATTAAATTCTGAAGACACAATTTGGCTTTCTCTTCTGGGAGAAGTAAAAATGTAGCCCTGGAGATTTAGTTGGTATAATTACTATCTTTAAAAGCATTAAACAATAGTCTCTCTGCTTTATAAAGATGATAATGTGTCACTAATTTTAAAATATTAATTTTTTAAAAGCCCCGATTTTTTTTTATAAACTGAGTTTACTCATGTGCCACATCCCCTTGTACATATAGATTATGTGTTCAGTATTAGTCAAGCTGTTGTTTTAAAAAGCTGTATTTCTGTTTCTTAGTTTTTTGTTCTACAACAGTTAGGACTTAGTTTTTTCATCTATTAAATGCAAAAGAAAAAAACAAAACAAAACAAAACAAAAAAAACCCAAACCACTAGGATGTACTGTATGGACTTACATTATAGATAAAACTGAATTTTCCAACTGGTTGTCATGAACAGAGGTGACTAGTTACAAGGTATTAAACCCATGCAGCCTTCAAAAAAGCCAAGATGGATTTATTGGGGTCCTTGGGTTAGGCACACATGGCCATGTCAGCCTTGTGCATTTATCTCCAAGGTGCCATCCAACAGCATTCTTTCTATGACTGCCAATATACAAAATAGATTGAGAAACACCAAGAGTTACATCACATCAAATATTCACTATAATGCCTGCAACAGTATTTGGAGAATAGTTATATTTATAAAATGATTACATTTGTTGGTACAATGTCTGGATTTGCCAAGTTTGTAGGGTTTTGTTTTTTAAAAAAAGGAATCATGTTACCAACATATTCTGGGGCTGTGCCTGGTTACCGAAGACGAGGTCTTAAAGGGAATTTAGACTTCCTACTTCACTTCCAAGCAGATACACAGGTCTGACTCTAGTTCTCCCTGGCAAAATAACAACTTAAGAGAATCATCACTGAACCAGATTTCTGTCAGTTGGTTTTGAAGAGCACCTGGGGGCTGGCGGAGATGGCTCAGCAGACTGGAGCATATTCTGGAGAACTGGAGTTCAGTTCTCAGCACCCACTGCAGATAGCTCACAAAATTCTGTCCAGCTTCCATTTTAAATCTATTGCTTAGACATGTTTAAGAGAAGTGAAATTTGAAGACAGACTGCCAGTGAATAAAAACCATGACAATAATAAAAATTTGAAAAATGAAATGCCATTTAAGAGTAAAATACAAATCCAAACTGGACAAGACCCCACCCCACACTACCTACATTCAAAGACACAGCGGAGCACTGGCAGGGAAAAAAAGCTGGATTCCTCTTCCTTCTCTGCTGTAAAACTGTAATGGCACAATTCACCTTGGCAAAGAAGTTGGCAGGCCTTCAAAACTTGTTTTTTTGTTGTTTTGCTTTGCTGTTGTGAGGGAATGAACCTAAAGTCTCCTGTCTGCTGAACACACATTTTAATCACTGAAGCAATATGCCCAAGACCCTCAAATTGTTTTTAAGTTATAATATGACCCAGTCATTTAATTCCTAAGAATATATCCAAAATTACAAAACCAGATTTCTTCATAAAATGTATGTATATATATATATAATTATTCACGAATGTTGTATTTATAGCAACATTAATCACAGAAGCCAAAAAAGTGGGAACAATACAAATGTCTTTTAACTGGTAATTGAACAAAAAGAAACTTTTCTCATATGCTGGAATATTTTTTGATAATAGTCAATAATAAAAAGGAATAAAATCTAATACATGCCATGACACAGATAAACCTTGAAAACATCATGCTAGGGGAAGAAATCAACTATTAAATGTCACATATTATTGGATTTTGTTTATATGAAATGTTCAGGATGCATAAATCCACAGAGACAAAAGCAGATTACTAGTTGCCTAGGGCTGAGAAAGCTGGGAAGACATGAGAAGTTACAATGGGTGAAATCAGGCTGCACAACTTTGTGAGTCTAGTAATTGTTCCACTGTACACTGTGAATGGGTGAACAGGTATACTGAGTATGTCCCTGGACATGCATATGCCTGGAGAGTTAGAAAGATCTTGCAATGATTAGTCCCTAGAGCCATGCTTGGCTGCCAAGGGGAGATGCTTCAGAGCACTCAGGATAAGCCGAGACCTTTTTGGTTGGGAAGGGAGGTTGGTGAGAGCAAGAAAAGCTCCTGGCTCATTTTAGTTTCCTATGAACTTGACACGTCAGCAAGTCATCTTTTTTGGTGGCTGATCAAAGCGAGGGTCTGAGAAGAAGTGAAGGGGCAGGGGTAGCGAGGCCTTCAGATGACCTCAGCAAACAGAAAACCTCTGGCTCCCTAGCTCTCTCCTCCTTTGTCTCCCCTGCTCCAAGCCCTTAATACTAACTTGCTAGCTGAGAATGGTAACTAATGCCAAGGATCTTAACAGCCCGACTGTCTATTCACAGTTTTCTCTCCCTGTGAACCAACTGCATGGGAAGCAACATCAGAGGACTGCTTGGCAGCATGGAGGCAAGAGAAAAGCTGAACCAAACTGCTAGGTGAAGTGTCTTCCCAGGTATACTCTACTATGTGTGACAGAGTCCCATCAACCCTCACAGGCAGGCCACACGGCAGCTCCCACCACCTCCACGCTGTGGTTACCACTGCCACACTGGACAAGGCTCCTCTTACACAGACCCTGCAAATTCTCAAACACTGCCTTGACCTGTCCTCTGCTGCCAACCAAACTTCCTTCTGATCAGCCACCAACGCAAGTTGATAAGCTTGTTTATAATCCTAGTATATTTAGGACATACTGACTTTCATTTTTGCTTAAGGTTATAATTAATGTCATTTTTTTCTAAAAAGAAAAACAGCCCCATTGATTTTTTTTCTGATTATAAAATGACATACACATAGTTGGTGAAAACAAAATCAATGAACTTAAAAGGTACAAAATAAAAACCATCTTTTAAGTTCAATACTCAGATAAACCCTGAACATTTTTGTGATCACTCTTTTAGACAACTTTCTACTTACATATGCACCACAGATACATAATTTTACATAAGTAGTATGATGCTACACATACTGTTCCGTATAATTTTATTTTTCAGATTAACATAGGCTATATATGCTTCAGAATTTATCAAATAAAAAGTGTGATGTATTTTAAAAGAAAATATAATCTGTCCAAACGTGCTTTTTTGGTTTGAAATAAATAATTTTTTTCCGTTATTTAAAAATTTTCCAAATAATACTATCTTGGCACATGACAGACAAGGACGTGACAAGTCCTGGGGGTCCAAGCATCTCCTGGCCCATGTCCAGAACTGTCCCGGGAATGTCTGAATCCAGGTTTGGGGAACTATCAAGACCCCTGCACATATGACATCGTGTTCTCCTCCTAATTTAGAGGAGCTAAAATGACTCAGATTAACAGAAGTATTTCTGGAGTTGCCAAATTTGGAGCTAAAACATCTTCTCAAAGCAAATCTATAAGTTATTAAGAAATCCTTTAAAGATCTCCATAACCAAAGGAAAACTGCTTACTAAATTAATTTTCTAGACCCTGGGCTTCATCTCCAGCAAGGCAAAAACCACACACACATATATACATCCTTCGGGGCATGACAAATGTTGCCTGGCATGCATCCTGGGTCGCATCATCAACACTCCCACACCCCGAGTAATTCTGGTAAGTTACTGCCATCCATTCCACTCCACAGTCTTTTTTTTTTTTTCTTTTGGTTTTTCACAAGACAGGTTTCACTGTGTAGCCCTAACTGTCTTGGAACCCATTCTGTAGACCAGGCTGGCCTTGAATGCACAGAGATCTGTCTGCCTCTGCCTCCCAATCACTCAGCGTTCTTATTGCTTTGATTAAACTACAAGTGTAAGATTTTTATAAGAAACCTTCAGCAGCTGCCATTTCTGACAGGAAAAATCAGTTCTCAGTGTGAGCTATCAGGCATCCTGGTTTTTACTGCTAAATTTCCTGTATCCCTAACCCCACACAGCCCCCACATACCAAATACTCCATGCTGTTGTATACATTAGTGTCATGGCCACTTCCTCCTTCCCCAAGTGCTCATTTTTATATTTTCCCACCTCTCTCTTTTAAGAAAATTTAAATTGTTTGTATGTCTATGTCTGTGTGTGGGTATGTACACATGTGTGTGGATGTCCATGGAGGCCAGAGTCATCATACCTCTGTGGAGCTGGAATCACAGGCTACTATGAACTGCCTGAAATGTCTTCTTTCTCCACTCACTGAATGGAGCCTGTCAATTCAGCTATACTGGCTGGCCAGTGTGCCCCCAAGATCTGCCTGGCTTCAGGCAGTGCCAGTTTAAGATACATCTGCTGTGTCCAGCTTCTTACATGGGTTCAGAGTACCCAAACTCGGGCCCCCATGTTTGTCCACCATTGCAGATGGGGCTGTGCCCCCAGCCCTGAGGACTCTAAGTTTTGAGAATTATACTCCGGGTCAATCCTTAGGGCCTAACGAGGAAACCCCCTTAGTGCTACAGCCTCCCAAGCTCTACCTACTGGTACCCATTTCTCCTCCCCTCCCGCAGCCTCTTCCTATTTAAAACAAGACAAGAAAGACACATGTATCTGCTCCCTCAGCTCCCTACAACCGTCCTCTTCCAGAAGAGGCTGGCTGCAGGACACAGCATCAGGTACTAGTTAGACAAGCATTCGGTACCTAGCCGTACTCCCCTGCAGATGCTCCAGGGGTGGGAAGGTTTCACCTGCACGCATCTCACCATCCTGAAGGGAAGCTTGCTCACTGCATGATACAGGCAAGGCTCCTCGATATCCTCCCATTGGAGATAAGAAGGGAAGCACATAACTCTGCCGTGGCAGCTACATTTTGATCCCAAGTGAAACCTGACCTTTTAGAGAAGCTGATTATCCATGAATAGCAACAGAAGATCACAAGTCCTTTGTTTCATCACAAGTGTACTGACATCTAAGCCATCATTACACATCTGTAGCATTAATGCGATTTCCTTAAATCATTTCACATTTCCGCCAGTAGAGCTTGCTGATTTTGAGTATCAGATACTTATAGGTAAAAGCATCTCAACTGATAGAGAACAAAATTCTGCAAAGAAGGATAATAGACTTTAAAATGACCTCTTGTGAAAAATACCAGGCCTGTTATACTTGTTTAAACCAGAAACTCAAGATTCACAGGATATATATATATATATATATATATATATATATATATATATATATATATATATATATCAAGAGTCCAGTCTGTCAGACTCTAAATGTACAATATCATTTCACTGGTAAAGTTCTATCAGGGAGAGTCAATATTTTGTGACAGACTTTTAAAAATATTAACTTCTTAATTTCTCTGATCTTTCTTTTGTTTTTCAATCTATTCATTAAGGTTCCTGTTCAAGTGGCTGTTGCTTTAAATGACTATTGTAAACATATACTTAAGATTTTCATTCTAAAGAAAAATTAAATTTAGAAGCTCAAGCTACTGCTGAAAAGGTGTTCATTGTGTAAAAGAGACCCACACTAACAGAAAAGGTGTTCATTGTGTAAAAGGGACCCACACTAACAGAAAAGGTGTTCATTGTGTAAAAGGGACCCACACTAACAGAAAAGGCATGCATTGTGTAAAAGGGAACCCACATTAACAGAACCCAGTGACTGCATACACAGGGTTAGTCCTGTGTCAGGTTAAATATGTGACACTGTTATATGTTTCTTAGGGTTTTGTTGTTGTTGTTGTTGTTTGTTTTTACTACTTCCAAGAAAACTCTTGGACAGAGTCTGGCAAGTGCGCCCTGAATTAAACGGCTCAGGGGAGCAACAGCAAGACTATGATGTTCAGCAGAGATCTCACCTGTGTGCACACTTAGTTACTTGGGTTAAGAAAGTAAATAGTTATTAGCATAAAAATGTTAGTAATATATTTGTTGAGTTACAAACAGCTTCTCACATTTACCCAATTTCAATAAAAATAGAATTTTTCAGATAAAAGACAGGTTTGTTTGTTTTTTTTTAAAGTTTAAGTGGGTTGCTGTTGGAACATGGCCCAAGACTGGAGTTGTATGAGGAGAATTCTGAGTGCTTGTGAGAAAACTCCTAGAAAACAAGTCTTATGACCCCAGTTTCTTTAACAACAGGAATTGTTCTTTTGTTGTTGTTGTTGTTGCATGGTTTTTGGAGACAGCGTTTCTCTGTGTAACAGCTCTGACTGTCCTGGAACTCACTTTGTAGTCCAGGCTGGCCTTGAACTCACAGAGACCCACCTGCCTCTGCCTCTGAATGCTGGAATTATAGGCGTGCGCCCTCCTTGCTTGGCTGGATGTTCTTGGAATGTGCTTTTGTGGCCCTCCCAAGTATAGTAGATAGCAGTGCGTACACTTCAGATTCCTCATTACAACTAGACATCGTCATTTGTTTATATGCCTCTAAGGAAAACATGTTTTGGCCACATGCAGCTTGTTCTTGTGATTATATACTCAGATGACCTTTCTTAACCCTTAGGATATCAACTGTCTGATGCTCTGTTGGCTACTACATGAGACTTCAGTCCGCTTCATTTTTTAGGCTCCATTCTCCCGGATTTCACTGCCTCTAGAGTGGAAACAGGTTGCAGCTGTACATATACCCATAAACTGTTGAGATTTTATCAGGTATGGTGACAGCAAAGAGAAAACGTCGTATGATTACTCCTATTTATGAGCTTTCCGTACTTTTCTATACCTCTTTATTTCACCATTGTCAAGATGGGGATGGAAGTCTCAGAAGTGGACAACACAGTACTGGAAAGACAAATTCAGTAGGACAGGCTGAACAACAGGTCAGAAAGAGCAGAGCAGGGCAGGGAGCTGCTCACTGGTAGAACGCCTGGAAAGCATGTGCAAGACCAGGGAACTGAAGGACTGCCAATAGGGAATGTTCAAACTGAACCTGACAAGTTTTCTCCTAGAGATAAAAGGCTTATGGTGTATTTTTGTGTCTTTCTGTGTGCCAGAGGACAACCTTAGAAGTTGTTCCCTTGGTGCCACCAACTTTCTTTGAGACAGGATCTTTCCCTGGCCTGGATCTCACCAAGCAGGCTCAGCTGATTGCCCCAGAGAGCCCCAGGGATCTACCTGTCTCTGTCTTCCCAGTGCTGGGGTTCTAAGAGTGTTACCAAGCTGCGTGCGTGCGTGCGTGCGTGTGTGCGTCTCAATATATAGCACCGGGTGGACTGGAATTCAGTGCAAACCACACTATCCTAGGTGTTTGACAACTGAGGAATCTCCCCTGACCAGTGAAGCATGTATTTTAAAAATTAGTTCCTAAGGGGCTGGCAAGAAGTTCAGTGGTTTAAGAGCATTGACTGCTCTTCTAGAGGACCTGGGTTTGGATCCCAGCATCCACATGGAAGCTCACAGCTGTCTGTAATTCCAAGATCTGGAATACATGCAGGCAAAACACCAATGCACATAAAATTATATATTCTTGAACTGATAGGGTATTTCAGTGGTCAGCATGAAGCCCTGGGTCTGATTCACAGCACTGAGAAAAAAATGTCTTAAAACTATGAAA